GCATGTTAAGTCGGTATGCTTGCCTACCAACAGGCTTTGAACATGGAAGCATTTACGAAAGAAATCAAGGGCCTCCATCGCCGTGAGCTCCTGCTTGTAGCTCGCCTGCTGCATGAGCTCCGCTAGGCGAGTGCTCTCCTGCATCAAGAACCCCCAAGCAAAACCGTCTGAAGTGGAGCATCGGCCTGGCCTCAGATCTGCAAGCCATCTCGGCCTTGAGCAGCGCATTCTCCTCCGCAAGAACTAAAAAACTTCTATGTTCCATACCTGAAGCCGAAAAGGCCTTCTCGCAGACGAAGGTCTCGATCTCCTTCTTGTACGCGAAGGCCTCCGCGAGGTTGGCAACCCGGAAAGCCTCAGTTCACGCTCTCACCTCTCGGAACAAGCCAGGCTAGGTCTCGGTATTGCTGATGCGCCAAGTGCCCGACATCCGTGCTCCTCAGCTGGTTCTGCAGCTCATGGACTTGCTCCTGGCTGCGTAACTCTCCTCTGTGTCTGTCTGTCTCCATCCACGATCAAAAGACCCAATTATGATGCCGTGTGCCCGCCTCGGACTCTCTGTCGCTTTCTCTTTTTCTCTCTCTCTCTCTCTCGCTTCATGCGTGACTCCCGCCCCGCCTCTGCAGCAGCCGTCTGCTCCTCTTGCCTCGACACCTCTGACTGTGTTCAAAATTCCCAAACCCAGGCAATACTGTGCGCCTGCCTTGTCACCGAACTCTGCGTCCTGCTCCTTCAGCTTCAACGCTAGCTTCTGGCAGCGCTGCTCGCATTTGGCGTTGGAGGCCTCCGACTTCGCCTGCACATCTCGCTTCCGCTTGTTCTCTTCTGCGTTCGTGCGCCAGTTGCCGTCCCAGCGCCGGTAGGCCATTGGCCAAGATGGCCTCCTAGTCCTAGTAGTGGTGCCGGTGCTATTGCTGCTGGTGCTGATGCCCCTGCTGGTGCTGGTGTTGCTGATGCCCCTGCTGGTGCTGGTGTTGCTGATGCCCCTGCTGGTGCTGGTGTTGCTGATGCCCCTGCTGGTGCTGGTGTTGCTGATGCCCGTGCTGGTGCTGGTGTCGCTGATGCCCGTGCTGGTGCTGGTTTTGCTGCCTCTGCTGTGCTGAACCGTGCGAATGTTCCCGAGCATGACTGGCTGGCGGTGCACACTCAACTGCGGCCCTGAAGTCTCTCTACCGCGGCACCGGAACACTGCGTGCTGAGGTGTCCGGCCGCTTGCATTTCGATCGCGGCGGCGGGTGCCAGCCTCGGCACAGCTGAAATTTCAATAGCTTCTGCAGTTCGTCAGGCTTCCTACAGGACCCAGAGGTCCGCTGGCCCTAAACCGAACCGGGGCTGAGCTGTGTCCAAGCAGGCCTCAAGGGCCATGGATGCTGACTCTGACAGGTAGCACATTGTCTTCATGTGCCAGTCATATTAAACATACCAACACCATGAAAGCATTTGCGGATGGTACCACATCATGATCGACGTGTCCTTTCACCAGCATTCTTTGCACACGAACACACAACCTTTCCTGCAGTGACAGTGCCTTGGCTGCTCTGAGGTTTCCACGATGCCAGCGAAAGGTGCCAGCCTGGGCACACGCAAGATTTCTCCAGGTTCCAGAGTTGGGGCTCAAAATTTCTCAGACTTCTGGACTTCGGGCTTCTCACAATGTTGGCAGAGTCGAGCTATTGTAACTTCTGTCAAAGAGAAGCACCGCCTCTGGAAACTGAGGTCTCCGGCTTCCTGGTCCGAGTGGAGAAGGCCTGCGACATCGGGCGGATTTGCTTCCCTGACGCTCTAAACCCCTCTTAAACTCCCCCACCCCCCTGAAACCTCCGAGAAAGCCCGACACTCCTAAAGCCCTAAACCCCTTTTTCAACCCCTCTTGATTCGACCCCTCATTTTGAAGCCACACCCAAACCCCGAAACCAGACATCGGAAGTGGCGCTTCCGAAAGCGGGGTGGTTTCGGAAGTGGCCATCGGAACTACTTTCAGAAGTGGCCACTGGGTCGCCGGGATGCCTTTGGCGTAGACTTGCATGGCATGCATGATGCCTGCAACATGTCACATTGCATGGTAGTCTCGAGAGAAAACTTACAGCCATTCGCGGGTTGCTTGAGGCATGGATCTGACAAATGTCGTGTTGACAGTCATTTGCTCGCAGCACGAGAAGCAGCTTTGATTCAGGAAGAATAGGGTGTAGGCCGTGTCTTTTCTCGGGCAGTGGTCGCGCCAGTGCCCGAGATGGATATCTCGCCTGTTTCTGTTACGTTGTCGGTGTCTTGGCCATGTTGAAGCCGTTATGTTTTATTTTTTCGGGTTTGTTGTTTGTTGTCTTTGTGTTTTGCATGTTTTGAGTACATATTCCTAATAAACCCGAACCCGTTCCCAGCAGACTTCACAATAATCTTCTGTGACAACTTGGTTGCAGGCTCCTCCTGCTCCTTGAGCTCAGTGACCTGCTTGAGGCTTGCCTGGCAGGAGCATTTGTCAACATAACCTTTAGTCCCGAAGGAGCCGCAGCCTAAGTAAACGAACCTTCCGAGACATTCCACACCAGAACCAGAGGAAGGAGCCGCAGCCTAAGTAAACGAACCTTCCGAAACATTCAACACCAGAACCAGAGGACTTCTCCTTCGAAACACCACAATAGAAGTGGGCACTGCCGAAACTGGGCGCCTAGACTGGGCCTAGTAGCGGGGGTTGCTGAGGGTCCCAAGGGGTCGCTTCCTAGACTGGGCGGTTTCGGAAGCGGGTTCGGAAGAGGATTCGGCAGCGGGCGGGTTCGGAAGAGGATTCGGAACAGGATTCCGCAGTACGGGGGTTGACTGTCCGCGGCAATCGTAACAGACTGACTGGGGATATGGAGATCTACCTGCACCCTTTTAAATTTTCCTAGTGTGCGGGTTGCCTCCGGGTAGGGCTCCGTCGGAGTTTACTTTATTAAGGGCCGCTGCAGGACGCTTTAGACCCTCGCACCACCTAGCTGCGCCGATCTGGATCCAGGCAGCTTCTCGAACAGCTGGAGATGCACGAGACCTTTGCAAGCAGGAGCCGATTCAGCATGTGCCTTTGAGCGTCAGAACTGAACGTTAACGGGTTTCGGGTTGCCTTGGAAACCTGCCCAGCAACAGCAATTGAACCTGCACCTAAAAGTCAATGCTTAAGAGTCTTGGTGTCGGGGTCTGTGCGAAAGAAGCCTTGCTCCAGCCTGTCCGGGACAGCACGTGTGTTGCTAGAGTCGTCGTCGTCGTCGTCGTCAGAGAATTGAGCGAGTTCACGCTAAGCTTAGACGAAGCGGATGCCAGTCGTGGTTTGGACTCTCGTCAGTGTAGCGCACCGGCTCAAGTTCAGGGGTTGACAGTGAGCTGGTGGCTTGCAAGCATGGCTGAGAAGAAGGATCCAAGGACCCTCAGCTGCATCTGGGCGAAGCATGGTGCCAAGTGGTGCTCCCGGTGGCCATGGCTCACAGCAGTGGAGGATGAAGCTGGGAAAGTGCAGTGGCTAGGTTGCTCGACCTGCTCTCAGTGTCCGGGGAAGCAGAGCGATCAGAACCCGTTCGCAGGCTGCCGTGTCCCTGCTTCATCGGCTCAAACATCCGTCTTCGAGAACCATGCGAAATCCAGGGCGCACAAGGAGCGAAGTGAAAGCCTTGGGGCCGATAGCGGCGTTCCAGTTGTAGCACCTTCGGTTCGAGAGTTTGCTGATGTCTTGGATGCCGTCTTCAAGGGCGACTCAGAGCTGGATAGCTGTGGACCTTGGAAGTTCCGTTGCATGACCTGGTGCTTGGCAGAAGCGCACCGCAACGTGCTCCGCGAGAAGCTTGCTAAATCTGAGTCCATATCCCTGGTCCAGGATGTTCGTAAGAACCAGCTGCTCGTGATGTTCACTTCGGTCGACGCAGGTTTGGAGGTGACGTCGGGAGTGCTTGGACAAGTGGATCTTGCGGAACGCTCCAGCTTTCAGGCCAAAGGACTTTTTCGGGGCACCGTCCTCGTACTCGGGAGGTTTGTTGCCAGAAATCTTGGAAAGCCTGTTCGTGATGGCAATCCGACAGGCACCTTGGACGAGTCTCTGCTGCAGACAATCAAAGCGAAGGTCGAGCTCTACGCTACGGACGCTGCTGCAGATGAGCAGCGCGCTGGGAGGCTGCTGCAGCGATTCTTCAGCAGCCTCCAGGTCGTACAATATGACAAAGCGCACGCTGCGCAGCGAATACTGAGCAGGACGTGGCCCACGGACCCTCATATTCATCGCCTAGTTCAGGAGCTCGTCACTGGCGAGAACGCTCTGACACAGAAGATTCGGCATTCCGGCATATTTCGGAAGAGATGGGAGGAAGCCGTCGCTGCCATGACCCCTCAGGCGAAGCGAAAGATCAAAAACCTGGCCTGCGCGAAGCATAGATGGTTGTCCGCAGCCCTTCCGTTTCGTCGCGCTGTCTTGTACTTGCGTCCTCTTATACGAGTCGCCCAGAGCATTGTCGCGGAACGTGGCCGCGGGACACCGGAAGGGGAGACAGCACATCGTTGGCTTTCCAATCTGAGCAGCGAGACCGCGCTGCAACTGGCCATGGTGGCTGATGCCACCGACGAGACTCTAGCTGTCAGTCGTTTTTTCGACAAAGATACGTACAACAAAGCGGAGCTCACGGCCGAAATCAGCAAGTTTCTCTGCAAGTGCACCTGGTTGTTTGAGCGCCGAGGTGTTCTGGGCACAGGCTTCACCGCTTACATACTGGAGCTTTTGAGACGTTCCCCGTGCAATTTCAACTTAGGTGGGAAGGTGTGCAGCATCCAGTCGCCCAGCCAGCACGACATCGAGAGCTGCCTTCAGCGGATGACAAACTGGCTCCAGCTCGTTCGTTTAACAATCCAAGCAGAATTTCCTCACTTCGAAGCTTTGCAATTGTTTCGGCTGTTCGATCTACAGTCGACACCGATGCCCTCCGACATGGAGCGGATGTCGCATTTGCTTAAGCTGAATCATGCGCAATTCAAAAGGGAATTCGAGGACCTGCGGCCCAGCGCCGAGTGGCATTGGCGGCATGGGCATCCCGATTGTCAGCTGGCATGGCATGCAGCCGCCAAGAAGACCCCGCCAGGCGAGAGCCTGAACGCTGCTCTCATCCGATACTTGTCCTGGCAGGCGAACACCTCCCCGCTTGAGCGCGGTTTCGCAAAGTCCGTGCAGAGCTGCTCGAAGAACCGAGCTGACGTGTCCGAAACCAGGGTGGACGACCAGATGCAACTTCTCAGCTTGTGCCGCACCACAGGAAGGGGTCGGGCCAGAGCACTTCCAAAACACGAGAATCTTATCGAATCTGCACGAGTCCTCTGGACGTCACACTTTGGGCTGCCACGCAACCGGCAGAGAGTGCCAGAGCACCTGCGAGGACACAGTATGGTCTTGTCTTGCTCCCTGTCACCCACACCTGACAACCTCGGTTTAGGGTTGCCTGAGTGCAGGGTCCACATTTAAGGTTTTCGGGGCGTTGAGTTGCGGTTCCTGCAGGACGGAAGCGCAGTGCCAGCAGCGACAGCACAGAGACGAGCTTCCTGAAGAGACGGCGTTCTGAAGTTGAGCAGGGAGCGGCAGGAGTGGACTCTAAAGATGCCTTTGCTGCTGCAGAGCGGCAAGTGGGGGTCCATGGCTGGCAGCAATCGCACGAGGATGAAAGACGTTTCTTGCAGCTGAAGCAGAAAGGTCGCTTCTGTATGGCCGTCCGTGACGGCGCTCTGCCGTGGGACAAGCTGTCCCAAAGGCTCAAGGATTTCTACCTGGCTTACCTCGCCAATGACGACAGACTGTCTGCACAGGCCTGGAAGAAGAACTCCTTCCGATTCCAGCGTCCTGCCTTCCCGAACTTGACCGGTGGCTCCATCTGGTGGACGGAGGATGCGCAAAGGCACGGCACCGAGATCCAGATGCGGCGAGTCAGCCGCAAGCTTGGCTTGGAGATCGTGGAGAGCCCTCTCCAGGCCACGGTGCACGTGTGGTTGCAGCTGACACAGCCGGCGTCCGCTGCGGACATGTGGATGGTGGCTCTGCATGGCAAGTTGGTGCTGGACCTGACATGCTTCTTGTCCGAGGGCCGGAAAGGCGGCTTTCTCGTCTACGAGGCGGCCATAGCTGTACAGCGCTGCATCCATGTGACCCCTCGATTTGCAAGAGACCATGCACGAATAGCGCACGACATCTTGTACTACTGCAAACCCCGTTTCCGGGGCTTGTCCCGATGGGTGGCTGAAAACGCTTTGCCGGAGTTTCGGAAGCAGATGCAGAAGGCCCTGGCGGCTAAGAAACCTACCAGGGTGCTCGTCTTCGGAACCGACGTGGACAAGCAGAGCGACCTTGGGCAGGTCAAGCTGTTCGTGACTGCAGCCGACTTGCAGGTCTTGTTGCATGTGGATGACAAGCGCTCTTGGTATGGCATGGGCCCGCAGTGAGCATTGTGATGGAGTCAGAGCAGACTGACTGTTGCATGGAGTCTTGAGTAGGTACAGTATACATACGGTACTTTGCCGAAGGCAGGAGGACGCCTTCGTCCGTCGTGTCAGCGAGTTGACAGACTCAGTTTTCCAGGGTATTATATCCAATCCTAAAGCTTCCTGAGACACGACGCTCTGGCAGTAGAATTCAGGATCAGCCTAGCACGGCCTACCGTTGTGGCTGCGATTTTATGTAGCGACGACGACCGGATTCCGTGGATGATGCTCTCTGCTGAGTGCATCAGTTAAGATGCTGCGGCGTATGGGGACGGGAAAGAGAGCGCTCAGCAAACTCGCGTGGCTGGACATTGTAGCTGGGTGAGCAGCCCGTCTGATGCCTCTCCCTGACAGGAGTGCACCGCACGACGCTACTGCAGTTCCAGACTGAAGCCAAGGACTTAGTGAAGGAGCCACGCGATCGCCCGCCATCCAGCCAGTGTGAATGAATTGTGCATGAGAGAGACACAAGTGGAACAGACAAGCGCGACATATGGAGCAAGGGTTTCCTGAGTTTAATCCGAGGGCCCGGCGGCTTGCGAGGGCCCCGGGGCCACCGGCGCTCCTCGGCCCCACTCCCCTGCTGAATCAGGAGCGTCCTTAATAGAACTTTCCCGTCTAAACCTCAGGGTCTTCTCTTCCGCCTACATGCTGGACGGCTTCTGCCGAGCTGGAGGCCCTGCGATCGCCATTGACTGTGAGCAAAGCTTTCAGAGTTTTGGGGTTTACTGATTTCATCCTTTGGTGCGCTCCAAAACCTCAGGGTTTCGCACAAGTTTTGGCTTCAGGGCTCAATGGATTCATTCCTACAAACTTGCGCTCCGGCAATCAGTTTACCATTCTGGGGAAGACACCGCGCCACTTTCGGGTGCAAGCAGCTTGTATTCCAAAGATGGTAACTGTGGCAGGATCCTACACTGCGTGAAGAAACAAGACGAGGACTTAGGACTGGGCATAAAGCTCCGTGGGCTACCGAGCCGTCTCAGGGCGGGGCTGAGACATGTTACTTCCACGGGCCTGTCCCCGGTGTAAGAACGCTGCAAAACTCTGAGGAAGTCTCTCTCTCTCTCTCTCTCTCTCTCTCTCTCTGTCTCTCTCTCTTGAAACTGCCGCGTTAGGCATGTGCCCGTGGCAGCTGGCAGCTGGCCTGAAGAGTCAGAGGTCGACAGCGCCGCGGCCCTGGCAGGGGCGCTGGTTTGGAATGCAAGTCCCCTCTCATCCCATGTTTCGGTTCCTGGATTTGGAGGGTAGCAATGTCGTGGGAAGAGCCTCTGAGACCATGTGGGCCCGTGACAAGGTCCTAGAGATCCAGCAGCAGAGGCTGACTGATTTGCTGCCATCTTGGGTCGAGTCAGGGGGGCCTCGTATCTGTGGAGTTTCGTGGACGACCATGGCGAAGTCTGCTCGAGGCTGCAAGAAGCCGAGCCAGCCGTACATCCGCACATCAGGACAGAAGCTGCGCAGATCCACACAGGAGAAGCTCATGCGGCTCACAGGGCTCAAGATGGGGGCGGACCGCCAATGGATGCTAGAGGCGACGTCAGATCTGGATGTTTTGTCCGAGGCGTTGCGCAGACAGGACGTGCAGGAGCAGCATGGATTGGCAAGGCCTACGTATCACGTTTTGGGACATGGTTCCACCCCACACGAGTGCCAAGTGGTCGGGCCAGGCAGGGTCGACTACGCAAGCGTTCCTGGTGAGGTGCTCTACCAGCGCATGTGCGAGTTGGAGTCTCTTCGTGTCAACTGTGCAGAAGCACTGACGGACATTTTCGAGTGTCTCCTGGCGCGCGGCTTCTTCGCCCTCAAAGAGGTTTCTGATGGCAACGACAAGGATGTGCAGGTCAGAGATTATGTCGTAGCGGACTTGTAGGTTACTTGTCATCTTGCAATTGCAAGGGTGCCATGCCGGAGCCTCTCCAGCAGGCAGCGCTTTGCTCTGTCTGCGCCGTCTTTTAAAGTCGCGGAGCTTCTGCTCCGTCTGCTTGTTCACGCCTCATGGGCAGAGCACCGATGCGAGACGTTATTGTTTAGGTTACCTCGCCTTTTAAGAGCTCTAGGAGCGAATTTTGCACAGTGCCCGTACAAGTGCTTGCAAAAGAAAGGCAACGAACGTGGCTGGTTCCAGTAGCCGACGCGGGTCAGACATCTCGGGCTTGAGTGTGGCACCGGAGTGAACGCCCAAGGTGACGTCCGTGCTGCCGCCCAGCCTGGTCCTCACGCTTGGCCTGACGCCCAGAGTCTGAGTGCATATCAGTATTGACGTTGCATGTCAGTGCGCTTGCGTTCGCGCGCACGGCCCTGGAACCCTGAACACGGAACCTTAAAACCCCAAGTCTGTAGCCTGTGGTGTAAGAAACATCTCGTTTGCCTGGCGTGACGCCCAGAGTCTGAGTTCAGGTCAATCCTGATGTTGCTCGTCCGTGCGTCTGAGTATGGTGCCGGGCCCTGGGTGCCCACACCTAAACGTTCAACCCTACCCAGCACCCGCCTGTGGCTTGTGCATTAAGGGCCAGGGAGATGTGGCAGGATTCGGAATCCCACCTCGTTTGCCTCGGTGTAGCGTGTCTATGTTGGCATGTATCGTCTGTATGTATCTAGGCCCTTGCGTAAAGCTTCCTGGGATTTCGTGGCTTTCTTGGGCAGGTACAGAGGGTGGTGCTTGCACGGGCGCCGTTTCTCGAAACAGGCGCGGGGTCCCAAGCTCAGGGGTTTGCCAACGTCAGTGCGTCAGTCACGTGGCAGCGCCAACACACAACTCGAAGCGGAAACTTCGGAACTGCCCGGAATTTTGCTTGCGTGTGCACTCCCTCGGCAACAGAGGCAGCTAAGGAAGTTACGGCAGTTACGGCAGTTAACATTTTGCCTTGTCGTAGCCGCCATTGAAAGCTTTTGCAAAAATGTCCGAGGGACAGTGCTGAGAGCTGTTTCGGAGCCCGACGACAGAACCAGCTGCCAGTACCGGTACTGAACGTGGAGAGCCATGCTGCTGACTACTCTTTTCGGATGCTGAGAGGAAGGTCCATTGTCTCAGCAGTGCAAAACCAGGGCAGCAGCCTGGCCTCTCCACCGTCAGTACCGGTACTGGCGGCTGGGTGCTGCCGTCGGCCTCCGGTCGTGTCTCTCAAGCTTGGGTTTGTGCGGACGGATTTTTTTAAATCTTGGGACAACCGGCTCTCAGCACTCAGTACCGGTACTGGCAGGTTGGCTTTGCCGTCGGCTCCCGGAGTATCTCTCAGAGCTGGGTGCGTGTCTCAGCCCTTTTTTCGCTGGCCGGGGTTCATTGTGCCTTGAAGTTGCCAGTGTAGCTGACCAGGATGCTCCGGCTTAGTATTGCAATTGAGCAGCAACTACTGAAGTCGTGTGCCGACTCTCTTTGCAGACCCTCCACTCTCAAGCAGATTGCTGTCACTTTCCGTGCTGCTTTTCGGTTGTCTTCATGGCGCTGTTGGCGCCCGTAGCGGCGGTTTCTTCGTTGGGTGCCGTTGCAGCGTCCAACGCAAACCATCTGGACATGATTGCTGAAGTCGTGGAAAAGATGCTGAAGCACCCCGCGCTCCGAGGCGTCGAGAAGGCGACTTTCAAGGCAGACCCCAAGGAGATTCAGAAGGGGCTGCAGGGCGAAGTGAAGACGGTGGTTGTTGGGGCCATGTTTTGGTGCGACCTCTCTGTAGACCCGACCAGCAGCCACTGCCCGATGAAGCGGAGCAAATGCTTGGAGATCGCGAACCGCTACTTCACTGAGCCGAAGCCGTTGTTTTCGGACATCGTCGTGGCTGCTCCTCCTGAATGGCAGAAGTCCGCCAGCAGCATCCACGTGGGGAAGCAGAAGCTGCGAAGGGTTTCGCCGCTGGAGCCTATCCATGCAATGCTCCTGGCGATCGCCAGAGATGTCGATGCAGAGGACACTGAGAAGCTGGAAGGCTGGAAGAAAGTCTTGCTGCACACCAGCTTCCGCATCGTAGTGGCTGAAACAGATGCCGAGCTGGAAGCCCTTAATCGCCAGTTGCGGGAGGTGCCAGGTCTGGAACACGAGCTGGTCCGCCACAGCAGCCTGACTCGCCTTCTTGACGTCTGCCAGTTTGCTGCTCGGGTGGGAAAGAGCCTGCCTAAGGCGACGAAGGACAAGGGGAAGAAGGCGCCCAGCTATGCGAAGCAAATATCGGAATCTTACAACCAGGGCCTGACCTTGTCCCAGCTGTCGGAAGCCGTAAGCGAAGTGTTCGTTGATCGTGCGCTTGCTTTCCACAGCAGGGTGCTGTCCAAAAGCGACTACGTGCTGAAGGCGCTGCTGCGCCTGGACGATCAGTATGGTGTTGCGGGGCCGCTGGACTCAGTCCACAAGCTGCACATCATTCTGGGCAAGGCTGGCACAGGCACCCAGTGCGTCAAGCGCGTGGCATGGGTCATTGGCTACATTGCCGACCTCTTTGAGCACGACGCACTGACCGTGGAGGATTTGTCGAAGACTGCATTGGCTGGCCCTTCTGGCAGCAAAGGCTTGGCCGACGTGATCCTCAGCAAGCTGGAGCTTCAGGAGGAGATCTTGCGCTGGTCCCAGGAAGCAGGCGTTGGCAGCCAGTGGATCGAGAAGATGCGTGAAATCAGCGGCAGCTTGGAGGCCTTCAGGGAGGCCGTGGGCCACCGATGGTACACAAAGTGCAAGCCTCCGGCTGCAGCCTGGCGCGCCAGCTTCCGACCATCTGCGGCTGCCGTGCTCAACCTCCTCGAGGACATGATCTACCACGGCACCTACGATGACACGATCCTGCAGTGGGCCGTGTCCAAGAAAGCCGTGTCGGACTGCTTGACCCGCTCGCCTGTGAAGGAGGTGTTGGAAGAGATCGAGGAGAGTCTGGAGGCGGAAAAGGAGGAGCATGGGGACGGCGACAAGAAGGTGGTCGCCTTGCACGATGCAGGCGACACTGACGAGGCCTTTTCCGGGCAGCATCATGGCTTGG